AAAAAGGTTACGGTCAGAAGAGAGGGTCGAAGCAAATTTTGAAGAATCGGAAGCAGAATCAGAATTAGTAAACTTTGAAGATACTGAATTCATTGATCCTGAAGACCTTCAGGGTGCGTCATTAGATGATGCCATAGATGTAGTTGATGGAAAACCCACACCAGAGCGCATAGTAAAATGGCCGAATGATGCATATCGCGACTTTTTGGAGTTGATAGTAGAGGGTAATATCTCTAATAAGATAGGTGATAAAATAATAAAGTTTTTCAACAAACATAATAATTTAGACAAATCACCATTGCCAAGTTCAACGAAAAATGGCAAGGATTATCTTAATCAAATAAATTCACCTTTGATAGACTTTAAAGAAAAGGTTGTTGCGACCTATAATGAAATTAATTTTACCTTCTACTATCGCCCACTTTTTCATGCTATTCAAGCTCTTCTGCAATGACCGGAAGTAGCCAATAACTTCGTCCATAAAGGAATCCAAAATAAAATGAAGGTCTGTATAATAATTTGATTTCCATCTGCAATGATAAATTACATTATTTATGCTTATTTAGTTATTTATATTTTCAGGATGATAGAGCTGAAACAAGAATATTTGGCGAACCTTTCGAAGGTAACTGGTGGTTAGAAACCGAAAAGAACCTTCCATCATTAAATCGACTATTATCCATCATCTTATACTCAGACACAACAACTTTCGATGGACTTGGGAAATCATCAGGCTATCCAGTTTTTTTAACTCTTGGTAACATTCCAAATCATGTTCGAAATTTGCTGGAGGCTAAAATTCTTTTAGGATTTCTCCCTAAAGTCCAAGATACAGGAATCAAAACAACAGAAAGTTTTTGAAGTTTACAGCGCGATGTATATCATAAATGCTTCAAAATTATGCTCCAACCTTTATTAGAAAAATCTGAAGCGCTATATTTTGGAATTAATGGACAAGTGATTACTTTCACTGCACGGATATCATTTTTTCTCGCAGATATGCTTGAAGTTGATGATATAACTGCGACATATAAAGGAGCGCAGTGCAAAATGCCATGCCATACTTGCATGGTTTTGCAAAGTAATTTGAACAATATGAGTCTTAAACTAGAGAACGTACCTCATAGAACTCATGAAAATATGAAGCAAGTAATCAACGATGGCTAAGGAAAGGAGTATTCTGTGCATTCTGTTGAAAATTCCTTCTGGAAATTTCCGTAAATATCTTTATATTTCTGTAATGAATTTCAAAGATGTAAATTTTTACACACGTATAATTTGTTTCAGAAATTTGAATATATACGAAGCCTGCGTTCCTGACCGTATGCACCATATCGATCTTGAACTCTTCAAATACCAATTGGAATTTACACAAGATATTTTGAAGGCAGTCAGAGGAACAGAACTACAAAAAAAATTTGATGATCGACTTCGTCAGATTCCTCGCTTCCCGGGTCTTAAACTCTTACATAAATTACGACATTTAAACGTACTTACTGCATCAGACTATCGTAACATAATGAAAATTGCCCTTTTTGCCTTAGATGAAATTTTTGAAGGAAACGAAATAACCTGTAAAGAACTTTGCGAACTTTACGCAAAGTTTAGTAAGATGTACATAATAAGCAGGAAAGAAATATATACTGAAGAAGATCTGAAAATTTTTGAAGTAAGTCAAAGTTCATAAAGTCACATTGGAAATCATCAACACACTAAAGATTATCAATTATAGTCAGCAATTATTGATTGGTGCATTGATTTCAAAAAGATCTTCTCTCCATTGTCCACTACTGACTGCAATTTTCTGAAGTTACACAGTTGGCGGTATCACGCAGGTAGGACGCTAGTAAACATACAGTATATGATTTTATCCTAATTTATTATGATTGTTTTCAGTGCCTGCTATTAGAAAATATGGTGCATTGAATGGGTTGTCAACGGAAACGTATGAAACCCTCCACAAATCATATGTCAAAACCCCATATCGGTTATCAAACAGAAAAGACGTAATGAGACAATTGGTGAACGCTGTTAGTTGAATCCGACATGACTGAAATCAATTTCTTTGAAATATACATACATTTAATAATATTTTTTATAGGTAAAACACAAAGAATTGACATCTTCTGCTAAAAAAGTTATTCATCATAAAGCCAAAGGATTTGGAAAAGTACTTTGGGAACTAACATTAGATAATATCGACCAAAAAATAAAATCGTTGAAAAAATCTGAAAATCTACCACATTTAAACTTCATTGAAGGGTTATCGCAATTAATTTCAACTTTATATACCTTTCTGGACACATCTTCGCAGGAGTCCAAAAGTGACGAATTTTACATTAAAATTTATGATTCAGTACACCTGGAAGATAGACATATTTTAAGAATGACAGGAGAATTCCAAGATAAAGAATGGTTCAGTAATATTGCGGTAACTCCTGCAGAAGATCAAGAGCAATACAATTCGGATGAGGGAACTTGGTATGGAAAAGTAAATGAATGATTAAGATTGATAAAGTGTTGTATGTCATTAATCAATTTTCTTTATAAGGTGTTGTTATTATTTAAATTCTTCCGAGGTTCTTTCAAAGAGCCATATGAACTTGCTCTGGTTCATTGGTTTGATATTATTACGG